TGTTTCTGTGGCAGGGAAAGGATTACAAGAAAAGACCAACAGGCGGAGAGACTGTACGTGCACACATGTGTGTGTTTCGGGGGACCTATCTGAACCGAGGCATGGGACCTGCTATCTGTTTCTCATTTTAGCGCCGTTCTGTGGTTTTCCAGCAGTGACAGGCCAAGGAGTGGAAACTGGCACTAACGAGCAATTACATCCTGCCTGCCTGCCAGGGATTATGGGATTACAGGCTGACCGGGCTTCAGTCTGCGCTCCCTTTCTGCACTCTCATTTTGTCATTCCCTTGCCTTCCTTGTGTTCGCGCTTATCTTTGCTTTCAGACCTCTCCCATTCAGTGGTTCAATTATCTTTTTCTCATTTTTCATTCCCCTGGAAAGTAACCCATTGTCTATTTTTAATTCTCCTTACTCGTTTGTTCATTATTATCTCATTCTCCTTATCGCTCCTCCTCCTCTTCCTCCTCCTCCTAGCCTTTTCTCCTTTTGACTTCATGGCCCCCTCACATAGTTTAAACATGCTGTCGTTAACCGCTGAAGAGTGAAATTGGTTTAGTCGTAAAGGGGAAGAAAGGACACTTATCAAGAGCAAAATACATTTAATGTGCGTGAACTTTTAATAAGAAGGGTGAAAATGAGAAACAAAGGGTAGAGGGTGAGAGTCAGGAGAATGGCACGTTAATGTCTGAGTTTAAGCCGTAGCCCCAAATTACAAATTTGTCCCAGAACACACAAGTTTTTACTGTTTAACGCCCTGGAGTGTTTTGTTTTGTGCAGATTAATGAAAAAAAAACCCTGAAAATCCTGTCAACAGCATGTTACAAGCAAGATTAAAGTAAAGTTCACGCTGGTTAGATGCATATATCTGTGGAGCTTTGGGGCACAAGCTGATATTATGCTACCTTTTCGAGGGGACCTCCCCAGATTTCTTGGTGTCTGGTAGTGATCAGGCGGCTCTCCTGGTGTTCAGCCTCTTTCTCCTCTTACAGGTGTCTTTTATTGAGCCAGCGGTGATTTACTGTACTCTTGTTTTTCTCCTCGCTCCTGCAATCAGGCACCGTGGTAGTGACAGGTTAAAGCTGGAGGTCAGAACATTTTACCGGCGTTCACACAGCAGAAGAGAGAGCGACTCTAATAGGAAGTTATTATCGGCGTTTGGGTTTTGTGGGGAGACTAAACACCAGAGAGCTCGGAGCCTTTTTCTTTCTTCACAATAGTGAGAGGTTTATGGAGGCTCTGTGAGTAACGCTCAGGTCTGTAATAGTATACAGTGAACCCACAGATCACTGATCAGAAAAACATCTTGGTGAGTAATAGACGGGAAATCAATGTAATATTTATACGGCCTTACAAATGTACAGTATAGCTGCAGAAAAGTTCAGGGAAAAAAGAGTGTTTGAGACAAATGTGTGACAGATGTGTGAGGTATGTCACTAATGAGGCCGATTATGACTCAGCAAGTAGAACAGCAGATTCTGCACAATATGTTTAAATGAGGATGAAGGAGGGCCTAAATGATTCTTTGGGTTTTATTATCTTATAATATATATTATATTAACTTTTATCTTTCAGACAGAAAAGTGAAATCTAAAGAGAGACATTTTACTGACTAAGCTTATACAGTTGCTTTTTAAAAAAACAAAATTTAGATGCTGTGTTCCCCTAAATGAATCCCATATTGCACTCTTATATAATAGAAAAGCATGTTTCTGTGTTGCATCACTTTTGTGGTTTGTATGTTTTGATGCTCGTAAGATGAAGGCCCAAATTATCCCAAATTATTCCCTGCTTCAGTTCAGCATGCATTCTGTCCAGTTAACTGATGTTAGTTTTACACTTGGGTCCTCTTTTCTAGAAGCTGGTGTCTTTTCTTATATCTTAAATAAATATTCCCTGAACACAGTCCGCATCCACCCTGTGCAAGCACTTAAACACCATTTGGAGTAGCTATGCACTCCAGTCCTGTAAGCTCCGCGAGTATTAACTGGCTCTGTCTTCATGGGTTGCTCTCGCTTCTGGAGAGGTTGCCCACTTAACTAACTGTGAACAACAACCGCACCGCCGACGAGCAACAACGTAAATGGAAGTTGACAAGAACTCTTTGCTGCAGACATGCAGGCTGATGGACAAACCAAAGCCTTTAATCAGCCAAACAAGGAAGAAACATATGCTTAGCTGTCTAAACACACACACACACATATACTGTATATATCAGCAAGCTTGTGTCAGTCTGCAGCTCTTCAGGACCTTCAGTGGTGTGCTCTTTCTTATTTACCCCTCTCTCCACCCCTCAACTCCTCCACCCATCTCTGAAAAGCCTGGAGGCGTCGGGCTGTAAACAGCTCCACAGAGCCGGCGTGAAATGAACCAGCAGACAGGCCCATGTAGACTCCCAGCTCATTGATCTAAAAAGGGCTAAACACTCCCAGCTGTGGCATTAGGGGTTGAGAATGGCACCTCTCCAGAGACTCGGTGAGGATCTGCAGCCCCGTGTCCCACTTCACACTGCTGTTAGTTTCTAAATCAGCTCAGAGACAGTCGGAGATACAGAGCCCAGGAGTTGGAACGCTTTGGCTTTATGTCGCAGCGGCGGCGTCTGTTTTTCTGGCTGAGTTACGATCAGTTTGTCTCTCAATGTCCTCTTGTTCCCTCGCCCAACCCTCAGTGTGTGTAACCTCACTTTGCCTGGACTGGATCACCACAGCTGGAACAAGCAGGATTGCATAAATGCACCAACAGGTCTTATCAGGACCTGTGATCCATAACCTTTTGTCAGTCTTCCATCTCACTGCACAGACAGAACTTCTTTGTGACTGTTAAATAAACATGGTGCGCTGCATATCGGCGAGATCTATAGAGACGTGAACGGTACACGCTGGAATACGCTACAGTGGGCGTGCAGTGTTGCTGTATGTAGTTCAGTGCCAAAGTTACACAAAGCCTCTCAGAGATGATAGATGTGGTTTCAAAGATGTTGGAGGTAATTGTGGGCAGAGTGCTGTTTCAGAAAAAAGCATGTTCGTGTCACATTTAAACAAGTCAAGCATACATCGCTGAAGTAATTCATTTATTATCAGGCAAGCGGGGAAATTTCATTTACAAATAGTCACAAAGCGAAAAAATGAATTTAAGCAGAAATACAAAAGAGACAAAGAAGGCAAAGACTAAATGAAAGTGAAAAGTGAAAGTTTGGTCTTTAGGCTTTTAAATAAAAATCCCTGATTTGGCATCTTGTAGACTAAGCATCACCTGATTACCTCATACATTTAACCTTGATTACCTCATGCTTTTAACCTTGATTACCTCATGTTTTTAACCCAGATTACATCACATTTCTAACCCAGATTATCTCATATTTCTAACCCCAATTACCTCATGTTTTTAACACTAGCCTTGGAATATACAGAAATCTCGATCCAACCTCAATATTAATTGAAATGTAATCAAAAATCAATCATACCTGCATTTTTTTATGCTAATTAACCTCCTAGGACCTGTGGACATCACATTTTGGGTTATTTAGACTAAAATACTCAATTTGTCTCTACATGGGCCTGATATCCACTTACGAGGACATTATACTGCTACTGTTCTATCAAAATTTTAAACAAATATCCTCATATGTGGCGCTTATTTTTCTTAAAAACAAAAATAAGGTTAAAAAAAATCTGGTAATTCTTTGTTTTTACATTCATCAGGTCCCAATAAGCCCAAATATCAAAGAGAAATTAAAAATTCATGTCGTGGAAGAGTTCGGGTCTTAGGAGGTTAATATAGTTCCTTGTTTTTCCATTCATCATCATTTATCTAATGTGGACAAAATGTTCCTGAAATTTGAACATAAACAATTCCTTGATAAATGGGCACCTGCTGACGAAGATCCTGTAATATGATCAAACGCTCCAGAATGGCTACTAATGGACCTTGTGATTACACAGTGTTGTTGATGGCTGTTTCTGAGATCAAGGATGAACACTCAATCTCAATCAACGCTCACGATATATTTGGGTTCTGGTCTAATATTTGGACAAAGAAATTGATTCCAAGATGCTCCACTGGACTTTCAGAGTGGCAGCTGAGGTGTATGAATATGATATATATATAGTATATATATATATATATATATATATATATATATTATATATATTATATTAAATATATATATATATATATATTATAATATATATATATATATATATATATATATATGTTCTAAACACCAGCCAATCAAATTATTCACTTAACCTGTGAACTGGTTACCTTTAAAGCTTCCAAGCAGTGTGAGCCACTGTTTTGGTGTCCAGCTGCCTTTGTTGAGCATTTTAAAGATGTTTTTCTTAAGTACTAAATCAATATAAAGTAGAAACACCTACAACTTTGTGATAGTCTGATCTTCTTTGAGTTCCCCTTTTGGGAGGCCACAGTTTAACCTGATGACCTCATGTTGCAGGCGCTCCGCAGCCAGCACAATCCTCCACACAGCACGTACTATATATAAACATCTGCATCCGTGACACTTCTTATCACCTGTCCTGCATCTCTGTGGTTTTTGTCTGGGACCTCCGTGAAGTGCTCTTGCCATGCCTGGTTCCCCCTGCTTGTACCTCTGCCACAGGAATAACCCTAAAGAATGCCTTTGACAAGTAAATTGCAGATACTGGCTTTTGTTGCCGGACTGGGGTTGTTTGCATGGATGTATGAACAGACAAGCCAACACTAGCCACAGTAACTGGCAGCATACACTAGTCTCTTACTGAAGCAGCAACCAAAACATTGTCCTCATGTACTGAGGACGTGATTTATGTGACATGTCGGCTTGCTCAGGGGCCCATGGGCCTGTTTTCTTTTACAGTATCTGGACAATTGTGAATGTATACACACCATATCGCCCGCATGTTGTCCCTTTAGTTTATGTTATCCTTTTCAAAGGAGTTCTAGGAGGAGGAAAGTTGAAGCCTTGTTCTTGTTCTTAAATTCCTCTGTCCCTCTCTTTCTTTCCAGGTGGGACCAGATGGAGGATTCGGAGGGCGGATAGACAAGACGTTACTTCTGCAAAGGGCAAGGTTTGTCTGCAGCAAGCACACTCATACTTACCTCTCCTCCAACTTCTGCCTGTTTTTCTCTTCACCTCCTTTCTGTTCTCCATCTTTTTCAAACTCACTTAAATGAAATCCTCCTCTGTACATATAAGCTCACCTTATAAGTTTTCAGTTTGACTGTGCAGACCACTATAAACCAGAGGAAGAGTTATGTGTGTGTATAAATTGTTAATGAAATCCATCCCCACCAGACTCAGAAATGAGCTTTTCATGAAGCCCTGTCAGCACCGAAGCTTTCGGTGCTAAATGATAAGCCAGCGGACGGAGCTTGATCCAAGGCGGAAATAAAGCACAGTTATTTGACTTAAATATCACTGAAGATGAAACAGGCTTGAGACAAAGCTGCTGCTGCAGCTCTTTTGAGGGGCTTATTAAAAACCTGTGTGTTTTAGAAGCTCTTCTGAGTAGAATCTTATTATCTTTATCAGTTTTATATCTGTAAAGCTCCCCGTCAGCTGAGTTTTGTGGTTAGGCAAATTATTCCTCTGGTGTTAACTGATATTTGTTTGTAATTACACTTCTCTGAAAACTCGCTGCCTTAGAAACCTTAAAACTACTGTACTTACCTTAATATGTCTTAATATGTCTTATACAATCTACATTAAAGAACTGTTATAGATAGATAGATAGATAGATAGATAGATAGATAGATAGATAGATAGATAGATAGATAGATAGATAGATAGATAGATAGATAGATAGATAGATAGATAGATAGATAGATAGATAGATAGATAGATAGATAGATAGATAGATAGATAGATAGATAGATAGATAGATTAGATAGATAGATAGATAGATGCATGCCAACCAGAGTCAATATTTCTTAGTGCAGGAGGAAGAGAGTTCCAGAGCCGAGGAGCAGAGCGACTGAAAGCTCTGTTCCCCATAGTGATAAGGTGTGAGGACGGAACAGTAAGATGAATAGCAGATGATGATCTGAGAGGGCGGGAAACAGTGGTGATATGGAGCAGGTCACACAAATATGAAGGAGCAGATTTATGGATACACTTGTATGTAAGAAGTAAGATTTTAAAATTTATCCTGGCTTCTATGGGCAACCAGTGAAGCTGCTGAAGAACTGGGGTAATATGAGCACTTAACGGAGTGCAAGTTATGACCCGAGCTGCAGAATTTTGAAGAAGTTGGAGTTTATGAAGGGACCTTTTAGGGAGACCAAATAGGAGGGAATTACAGTAATCAATACGGGACGTAATAAGACTATGGACAAGGATGGCAGCAGCATGGGGAGTAAGGAAGGGACGGAGTCGGTTAATATTACGTAAATGGAAGTAAGCAGACCGGGTTATGTAATTAATGTGAGACTGGAATGAAAGAGTATTATCAAGTATGACACCCAAACTCTTAACCTGAGGGGAGGGAAGGGTAGGAGAATTTTCAATGTTAATGGAAAAGCTGTGGGATTTGGTTAAGATAGATGGTGTACAGCCTACACATCTAAATTATACAGTGTTTTGATCCTTTTTAAAAAAAATCACCACTCACGCTGTTTCTGAAGTTTTGCGTGACCTGATGTTGACACGGTTTAAACCAGGGGTGGGGAAACTCCAGCTCTCAATGGCCAGTGTCCTGCAGGTTTTAGATGTGTCCTTGATCCAACACAGCTGATTTAAATGGCTTCATTACCTCCTCAACATTTCTTGAAGTTCTCCAGAGGCCTGGTAATGAACTAGTCGTTTGATTCAGGTGTGTTGACCCAGGGTGAGATCTAAAACCCGCAGGAGTTCTCCACACCTGGTTTAAACATTTCCACGGTAACAGCGGCTTCCACAAGCAGAGATGTCACTTTTACGATTGTGGGTAGAGTAGTTCTTTTCCACGCCATCACCATTAAAAATGTTTTTTGTTGAAATAAGGTTGATAAAACAGATTCGTGGTTTACAGGAGCACAGTCATTGTTTCGGTCTGCTTTGGATAGTCTCAACATTCTGGCTCAAAATCCCTATGGAGAATGTGTGGGACGTTTACTTTCAGAGGTACTGAGGGTACTGACAATTAGAGCCGAATTGTCTGTAAGTTGATATTATTATCAATCTATTGGTATCGGTATTTATATTGACTGACAAATGAAAATTAAACTGTAAATAACAGCTGGAAGAAGAACCTTCAACCATGTTATGAGGGTTCACCTTGCATAGTTTGTCCACCAGAGGGCACATTTTCCCTGCAAACACAACAACCAGCTGACCAGAGCGGAGGACTTTATTAACTATACATAACACATTTTAGGGAAATCTTTTTATGTGTTTGAAAGAGAATATATATCAAATAAGAACCAGCTGACATACTCTGTCTTCTTAGGTGCTGCTGTGGGTGCTCATTGCTTTGCTGCCTCTGGTGGAAGGAGCTCATATGAAAGGTGGTGCTGGTGTGGGATCAGACTCAGGCCACACTGTGGGCCTGCTGGGAAACCAGGAGGAGAGACAGCTTCCTGTGACGCTGCCTGAAATGGTGGAGGATAAGGAACAGAAAGAAGACAGTGACCCTTACTCTACTTGGCACCCTCTTTATGGTACTGAAGCTCTTGGGAAAGTGTTTTTGAGTGACTGATAACGCTAAAAAGCTCTCTCTATATATACATGTGCAGTCCATTTACTATATAAGTCATAGCACATAAGCTTTACTGAGCAGTACTAGAATGGAAAGATGGTTGAGAGAAGTCTGAGCCTGCTTTGTGTCTCAGGCCTTTGAATACACTTACACGTGAAGTCATTTTATATTAAAATGCAGACGTGAGATTGTAGATTACTTAAGAAATATACCCCACTGCTCATAATTCTGTAAACTGGTGTTCACTCCCAGCCTACCATTTCCTTTCTTTCCTTCTCTTTCAGACCCTTTTGTAATGGATGAGGTGGATGACCATCCCAGCAGTCGCTGGGTAGGACGATCACCACGCTCCTCTGATCCCACAGAACCTCAGCCCAAGGGATCATCGAAGAAAAAGAAGAAGAAGAAAGAAAAGGAAGAAGAGACAGAAACAAGGAACAGAAAGGGTAAGGGGAGAAACGGACACCCGAAGCAGAGCAGCAGGCACTGCCGTGTGGAGAAGAAAGAGATGAGGGTTCGGGATCTAGGACTGGGATTTGATTCGGATGAAATCGTCCTTTTTAAGTTCTGTGTAGGCTCCTGCCAGGCCGAAAGAACAAACTATGACCTAGCACTGAAAGCACTGCTGGAGAATGGCTCGCTGCCTCGACGCACCGCCCGCAAGGTCAGCAGCCACCCCTGCTGCCGCCCCGACCGCTACGAGCCAGTATCGTTCATGGATGCCAAGACCACGTGGAGAACCATCCAATCGCTCTCTGCCGCCAGCTGCATGTGCATGGGCTGAATGATGAGTACAAACAGATAAGCGCCCAGGATGGATAAAGCTGAAGAGCCTCTGGCTGGATAGTGTGTGTGTCTGTGTGTGTGTGAGGCCCCGTGTTTAGGATTTGGCCATATGGGGGCACTGTCTCACACAGAAACAGAAAAGAAGAAGAAAAAGAGGCCACTTGTTTGCCTCCCTGATACATTTCCTGCTGAGAAGGAAGTGGGCTGGCCGCAGCTGGACATTAAGGGCCAAGGTCAAAATCAAGAGACTGAGGGGGAGGTCATTAGGGAAGCCCAGTCTGGATACTGTTCCCTCTGATACTGAATTCTTTTTAACTGAATAACCGGTAATTAATGCAGGATACTAAAGCCTGGTTATTATACACAGAGACCTTCTTCATGTGTTTGATTTCATTTGGGCGAGACCTGAAGGCTGAAGCTCAAGCGATGTAAAGAAAATTTACAGTTAAAGGACGCTTTGTTTCCATTCAGACCATTCATGCTCGGTGAGAACAGGTGTTTCCACAAGATTCGTTCTCTTCCCGCACACAGACAGGGACATTACATTGTGTCTTCTCTATGTTCAGGTGAACTCAGCCAGATGGATGCCATGCATCTTCATGTATTACTGTATAAAAGTAAAGTATATTTATTTTGGATAAATTATTATTTATTTATTATGGCTTCATATGAGAGCTGTTTTTATGAACTCTATTGTAGATAATATCTATTTATTGCCAAGATTCACTTTTCATGTCGACAGTTACTTGTGCTCGCATACAGTACAACATTTTTTTCTTTTCCAGATGCTGATTTTCACACTTACCCAGCACAGAAAGTCAAACTTTGGCTAAACAGTTTCTTCTAGGCAGAAGTAGATTGGATTTCTAAAATCTGGTTATTGATATTTTTTTCTATTGAGCAAAACAATATCCAAGAGGTCAAATTCTTATTTACTTTTCATCCCAGACTAACAGATATTGGGCAAAAATGGACCAACATTGAAACAATGTGGAAGAACTGATAAATATTGAATTTTGTTTACTTTGAGAGCATCTAACATAATTGAGTCTGGTGAGATATCTGTGTTTGTGGTCACCTTTGTGCTGGAAATAGTCATTTAAACTTTAATACATACTGCATTGTATGTACAGTGTGTAGTGAAGAGGATCAATTATGGTTTTCCTTTGCTGTTACATTGGTGGATGCTCTGTTTTAAACACTAAATACTGAGGTTATTGTATGAACAACTAATCCCAGTGAGCCAAACACTCAACTTCAGACAGTTTCTCGATGTGTCTTCAGAATAACCCCAGCCTTGATGACTGATATCAGCCTTTGACCAAGTAACATACTTACCAGTGGCCATGTTTTGTGTCCTATCAGTCCCAGCAATTTTGTGCTGACTAAATGCTCTAAGATGTGAACTGAAAGTTATGTTTTACAATGCAATAACTTTGTTTGATTTTTTTTTTTTACCAGCTATCAGTTAAATTGTTACCGACCCAGAATTTTAGAACTCGTGCATCCCTAATCTAGACGACAAGACCTTGAAGGTGATTTTTAGTTCTCATTCATACTCTCACTATGTCGCTCTGTCCTTATTATTATTATTATTATTATGATGATTATAAAGCTTCCTTTATTTTTGTATGTTATTATCCTCTAAGGGAATAAAGTTTTTTTTATAATATACATCATGTTAGTACACCTATTATTCAGACTATTCTGTCCAGTTATCTGTGCAACAGTTACTGGTGTGAACTAACACCACAACAACTTAATTTGCCGATGAATTATCCTGTAGCGCCACCTGCTGGACTAGAATCTAAAGCGAACTGCAATGCTCGTTTTGACGCGAGAGGAACTTGCTGTCCTGCCACCTGTCTGCTGCCAGCTGGTGATGTCTGCTTTAAAAACTTATTGTTCTTTATTGAGCAGAACAGGCAAAACCGGTGATTTCGCTGCCTTTATTTATCTGCACAGACCAAATAACACATCCAGTAAGCAACTGAGCTCACACAGGTGAGGGGAACAGTGTTTTTTTCTTCTTTATTTTAAAATAAGATTTGATCACATTTGCTTTTTACAACAGCAGTTATTAAAACACGAAAGACATTCGTGGTCCTCCATACCTGCATCATGAAGCACTGTTACATGGCACTGAGCGAGTTGGCAGCATGTAGAAAAAATAAATAACTAAATAAATTACACCGCCCCCGTAAAAGAAATGTAGTGCAACAACACATGTAAGGGCGTCGCATATTTAAAGAGTTTTAAACCCATGAAATGACAATGACACGCACTTTATTTGTACCCACGGGGTATGAATATTTAAATTTCCAAGTTTGGAAATTTCTTTTATTACGGTAAAAAAAAAATCTACCACATACTGTTCTGGCTAAACTTTTTTTTTAAGGTTAAGCAGCATGAAGAAGTAAATGTTTGGTCTCTGTGATTCTTTGGAAATGACGTGGTTCTTCAGTTCACAATCTACTGTTGAACTGCTGCGCTGGATCACGTGGATCAAACCTGAAGCACTTTGCTAGTTTTCAGCTCACGTTAAATCATATGAAAACTGTTACCTGCTGTTAATGGTGACGTGCTGATTACTGCTGCAGTTGTTACTGGATATTATTTTACACGATGTGACACTTGGCGGTTTAAACCGATCAAACGTGATTAAGTCACAGTTCGGAGATCTTCCCCGGTTTGGCCGAGGTGCTTGAAAACTGCTGTCGGGAGTTCGTGAACTTCACTCAGAGACACTTCGCAGACTCACAGGAGCTCGGTGTGCTGAACGTGCAGGTAACGATGTCCATTCTCCTTATGTGCGCAGGAAGCAGCGGCGTTACGCTGCGCCCTGGAGATGCCTTGGCTGCCTCCTGTTTGGAGTTACCCTCCACCTCGTCATCACAGCCAAGGGTCGCGGTCGATTCGACGCTGAACGGGTGAAAGCTGACACGGGCCGTGTCGTACTCCCACGCTTGTCTCAGGGCAAAGTCTGTAAAAGATTTATTCTGGATGAGTCCGTGATGGTCGTTTCTGTAGCTGGATGTGCGTATGGAAGCGTAACTGGTATCGTTGCTGTTTAAAGACTGTGGAGAGTTTTGACCCTCTGCCCAGCCGATGTTGTCGCCGCCTCCATCCCTGACCCTGTTAACTGTTCTCTTTAGCTTCTCGCAGCCCTTCAATAGCAGGTTTTTGCGACACAATATGTACACCCAGGGGTCTAATATGGGATTGAACGAGGCGAAGCGGACTGCCAACAGGTCGCTGCGATAGTCGGGCTTCATCCCAGCAGAAATGTAAGATGGGCCATATAGTTGGTTAACAAAGATTCGCACCTGTGAGACAAAAGCATGACAGAAGATATCTGAGTTATGATATCAAATAAAGCTAAGACCAGTAACTGAATGTGCACTGGGTGCAGACATAAGAGAACAAATAGAAACAAATAGTCTGTTGCCCTTACCACTAATGGGATAGAGCAGACCAGGAATACGATGGTCATCAAGATCATAAGCCAGAACATTTGGATCTCTGCCGCAGAAGTGACCGAAGGCAGCCGAGGGAAGCGTCGACGGGAGCACCCCTGCTCACACAGCTCAGTCCTGACTATTCCTGTCCTCTGGTTCATGCCCACCAACGTCCTGCACACCGCCAAGTTACACAAAACAGTCACTGCGATCAATATAATCATCACGCCGCCGTACAGAAACGAGTAGCAAGCTCCCAGCGGATCCATTGCTCTCCAGTCGAGAAAGCACCAAGTCCCGGGGATTTGGCTAACGTGCTGTCCGAATCCAAAACTGGGCATAATACACAGCACGATGTTCGCCAGGTAGGTGACCAGGAGCGCAAACCGCGCCATGGTTCGGTCTATGTGCTGGGAGTAAAAGTACGCGTGATTTATGGCCAAGTATCGCTCCACAGCCATAGCGCACAATATAGACATGCCGGCGGAGCCGAAGAAAAGCATGGAAAAGGAAAAGAAGTGGCAGAGCAGCGCTCCCCCTGGCCACCGGCTAGACACGTACGTGGCGATTACCACCGGGCTCGTGAAGCACGTCCCCAACAGGTCAGTGATGGCCATACCGCAGACCAGCGTGTAGAAAGTGGTTTCCTTCTGTTCTTTTTTGGAGACACACAGCACCACTATGGCGATGAGGTTTCCCAGGACGCCCACGGCGAACATGGTGGCTGAAGTGATCAGAGACTTGTACTCGAGCCGAAGCGCAGGGAAAGCGCTCTGGTTAAGCGAGAGAAGCTGTGACGGCTCAGAAACGTTTGTGTCCAGTTCTTCAAACGCGGCAGTGTGGTTGATCATTATTAAACAAAACAAAAAAGCAGTAACAATGCACGAAGATTAAAGCACGAAGGACTTTCAGTGACCTTCAGAAAAGTCGCTCTGAAAAAAACAAAATGCTTCTCCAAAAAAATGAAGAGGAAAAAAAATCACATTGCGTGGAATCTTGTGCTCATAAACGCATAAAGCACACAGCAGTGAAACGTATGTTGTGTTCCAGCACTGTGTTCGGATCCCGGCATAACCACAACAGGTGTGCCTGTTTTTGTTTTACACCACTCGGATTTGCTGGTATTTAAGCTCTGTGCTGATGTCAGGACAGTGACGTGCGGGCTGGAAGCGCGCAGGTTTCCGAGGATCTCATGTCTCCAGCCAAAGTACAATCATGCGTC